CGACGCGGTATATCCAGAAGCTGGCAGTTCCTGTAATTTATGTGGAACAAACCCGGCTGGGTTTATGGGGGTCGTACGACGGCGGATAAGGAGCGGCGGGCGAGATATCTCCGGCCTTAATATGATCGGCGACGCCCTTAATCCCGAAACCCCAAGCCCGCCTTCCGCACCGGCGTCGTGCACCGCGCGCAGCAAGCTTGCTCTAGAATGAGGACGAAATGGTGGAATCGCGGGAAACTCTCATAAAGGCAGATGCGGACACGTGCCTTACATACTAAAGCCCGATCCTGCGCCAAAGCCATCGCGCTGCAAGTTCGTGACGTCGCGTATATAAGGTGTCCTAAAACTGTCGTGCGGTCTGTTTGATACAGATGCCTCGTAGAATTTGGAATTAATTTTCCTCCGATAAAAACGTGGAAGATGACAAACCCCCGTTTGTCGTTGAATTCACTCCGCCCGTTTGGTGCGGCTTTGTATTTTTCTCCCTTTCGCTACGACAAGTCCGCTTTAAGGATTGCACGGTTCGCCACTTAATGTAAAGTTCAATGAAACCAGAGCCGTGCGTCACAAACAGCGACGCCGGCATCTAAATCGAATTTCCGAAAATTCCGGCGAAAACATGACGGTCGACAAACCGCGCGCGCGAGCAGACGATAGCTCCGGGATTCCTACGCGCGCCGGTATTCCGTCGCGGCGAATGTATTGTCCGTGGGACAATGCGCCGGCTGATTGCGAAGCAGCCGGGCGAAAACTTGACCCGAAAATAAACCGAATCGCTTGAACGCCCTGGTCGACCGCTGCCAAACGCAGCCGCTCGGAATACGCGAAAGAAGGGAATCGGCTTGGTGCTTGTACAGAAGTGCGCCAACGCCACTGAATGTACTCTCAATCGCATATACGACGTCGCCAGGAACAGCTTATTTCGTCGATACAAAAGAGATATTGCTTATTATATAAATATAAAAATTAATTGTTGTGTAAATGTAAGAAATATTGGAAAATTATTCGCGACTAAGCTTCAAGAATAATAAAATATTAATTTTTAGATTGTTTCAGACTTTGGAATTAATATTTCATTATTTTCACGGATAAACTTCAAAGTTATTCTGTAATTCGAAGGAACGTATAAACGCTTTGAAAAATTTTAATATTTAATTTTCAATATTTAATATAAAAATGTGATGCCGTTCATTGGATCTTCATCGAGCAGAAACCAATTTCAAACCATGCAGGAAATATCTAACTGCAAAAATTACAGATAGCAATGCTTGGTGGATGAACACTGTGTACGCGATCAAGTATTCCGAGGATTCTCTTCGACTCGAGAAACTGGCCAATGCTATTATCGCGCCATTGCAAGTGAAACTTCGAACCCGTCGCCTGGGAAAACAACCGTCGACAGGAGAAAAAGAAGTGGCGAGTCATTGTGCGCGACGGCGAGTCATGGTGATTCGCAAAAGAGAGCTTATGCTCTCCTTTTTTTAAACTGTGGACCGTACTTGTCAAATTATTCAACGAATTTAAGCGTACCGCATTCTCTACGAATTTTTTTGCATTCTGCAATATATTTTTTACATTACCTAAAATACAAGAAACATTTATAACAAATAATGACGCATTATTCAATCGTGATAAGACGTGTGGTAAACGCAATAATGCGAACATGTTGCGCAAAACTCTTGACTTTGTTCGTTAAGGAGATTGCTTTCATCTCTAAATTCGCTAATGGATCCCTCGGAAAAGCGGAGAACGAAAAGACGACGGTAAAATGCCGCGGGCGTAAAAGTCCACTAACGTAAAATACAACGGCGGATATTTTCAGACGGCCACATTCCATAAACCGCGCAAAAATGCAGCATCTATATCGAATATTACGCCCGACGGGAACGAACACGGGAAGCGGTGAGACGGCAGCTTAGTTTTGCTTTCTCGATAATAACATACGGACTGCTTTTCCACACAACTGTAAATACGAGAGAGGAGTGTATGAGAGCCGTGCTCGTTCTTCACAAATGATGACTGATCCACTCGATCGCAATGAGACATTTTATATTCCTAAGCTATTATCTTGTAAAAAACAGAGATTTAAAATTTTTACTTTTTGGTATTAATATAAAAACTGGAAAAATATTGTGAGTCATATTTGTAGGAGGTGATTTTAATCAGTTACAGAAAACAGATGGAAATAGGTAGTGTTTTGTTGTTAAGTTGGTACGTGCGTGGCGTGAGTGTTACGTGAGAAGTGAAAAGATATGTGCGTAGCAAAAAGACGTGTATCTCTTCAAAAAAATCCTTGCTTGTTCGTTAATCACGGTATCGAGTTATTTATCACAGAATCCTACATACTTGTATTGTAGTTTGGAAAAAATTTAGTTACGTACGCACACAATAATCGAATAATAATAACTCGAGTTTTTATTATGCATTATAATTGTTTAACCAAATGTAATTTAAAAATTAATAAAATTTTCAAGGAAAAGATTTTTGTTTACGTCTCTGTTCTTCTGTATTTGCCATTGGAAATTGATTTCATATAAGAAAGCCACTTGTCTTCATCTCTTGTTGTTTTACAGTCGTTTTCTCCGTCGCTCTCTTTTCGTTTCCAATAAATGTGCGTGCACATAAGAGAAAAATAAATTTCTATCACGAACAATACTTTCCTTTAGAACCTGCTTCAGCCGTTAAACGATCTTTTCTCATATATGTAACACGTGATCAGTGGACCACTAGTAAAGAAAGAGCAATAAATTTAAACCAAATACATAATTGTTTTTATGCTTTTTATGATAAAAGATCCGTATTTTATTTTATATAGTTTTAATTTTAAAAATTATTAGTTGTACAAAATATATAGCTTACCAGAATAATTAAAAAAGAAAAAAAAAAACTTTTGCAAACTGCAAAATAATTGACTACCATAACAAAAGCAATTATTTCTACATACGTTTCACGATTGTATTATCGCAATATTTCAGTACAACACACAGTATCCTATTTTTTTTATTTTGTAAATGTCATCGCCTAAAAACATTTATGCTATGTTTTACACATTTTCCTCCTAAAAAATTTTTTAACGGGATCCATTAGCGACTTCAATGTTAAAAATAATCCTTTTTGCGTGAATTAACAAAGTCATTTAATTAGTCTCGCTAAAGAAAAATGAGTTTACAGTATTTAAATCTCGGAGCTTTTCGAGAAATCTGAAACCATTGATGCGCAATAAATTGATTATAAAAGACATTTCTCAAGCCGCAAGTATTCTCTGGGCGAACCACTGCTTTTACAAGCATCGAAATCTAATACAAATCTGCAAAACTCCTTTCTTTTTCCTTATTTTATGTAGATCATATAAAATTGTAAGCTTCCTCGAGATTCCCAAGATGCTTAATGCATCTTCATGTCCCTTTCTGTTGCCATTTGTCCTCAACAAACACGATCGTCCATAACGCAAAAACGGATTGGTCTGTCCGGCATGACCATCATTCTTTTCCATCTATTTTCCTTAAACCCACTGGTTCGCCTTCCATCCGCCACTCGCATTGTAATTCCGACTGAACAGTTTCGCTAGTGGCAAGTCCCTACGTGCTCGGCATATCAAATTCGACATATAAAACTGCCCCAGAGACCGTAACTGTTCCGGTTTAACGTATCGGCGACACGTGTCATCGTCTTCGTCGTCGTCATTGCCGTCGTAGTCGTAGTAGTCACTACTTGTACCGTGACTACTATTCCAAACGCGCAGACATCCGTAAATAATTGGATGCTCATTAACTGAATCGCCAAGCGGTATCGCTGATTCACGAACATTGCGATGCGACAATAAAACGCGCAGAGTACAATACAGGATGTCACGTAAGAAATAACTAAATCTTCCGCGAAAAGAGAGTATATGAGAATATGTAAAGCGTCTTTGTCGATGTAAATTTTTCCAAATACACTTGGAAAGAAAATTTTGTATTTTTAGCAAAATTGTATTCTTGAGGCTTTTGTTTATAGCAATCAAATATTTTGCTTTATATTATAAAGATTTAATTAAACATCTGATTGTAGGAAAAAATGTTGATAACAAAGATATTGATTTAGGATATTGATCTAAATAGTTTGGTTGGGCATATTTCAACCAAATATTCGATTTCTTCAACTAAACATTTTTCCCAGTGTAGCATAAAAAGAATATTAAAATATTTATATTGCAAATAAAAGAGTTTCGAAAAATTAAATTTAAAAAATAAAGTTAATTTAGTTTTGTGAGTGAACTTCAACTTAAATATTAAAAAATTTTTAACATGACAAAAACATGGCAAAAATGGAAATTCTTGTAAAGAAAAAATTGTTTACGTATTTCCACACTCTCACAGTAAAGTGCACTCTACAGTGCACCCTATATAGAAACGAATGACGTGTCCTATTAGCAGACGGTGAGCGAAGAGAGAAATAACACGAGACGTTTATTAGCAGCGACTCTTCGTCTTAGATATTCGGTGTCACATCAGGGTTTGTTATCGAGCGTCCTTAAGCATTATCTTTAATTAGTCGCTCTCAGGAAATTAACTTTAATTGAATCGATGAACAAGTATTCACTTGACGTCGCATGTTGAGCGAGGAAATTTGTGCCTCAACTTTTTCACCGCGATAAGGCCGAATGATAAACTACTTCCAAAACTTGAAGTTCAGTATCTTGTGCTTAAATAAATAATATTTCATTATTCTTACTTTCACAACTCGACTTAACATTTAAAATAGTGATTCTCTCACTTTCTTTCTTAAACTGTTATTCGGGTTAAAAAATTATTATTCTGAATAAATGATAAAAAAAATATAAACATAATCGTTCTCTAAATAAGTAAAAGTCAGGAATAGCAATTTTTGCCCCAATTATTCCGCGAGCACAAATGATACGCGTGTGATACGCAAACGCGATAGATTTTGAAGCTAATGCAATACATCCCTCTATAAAAAGCACATTACTTTTCACATAAATGAATGGTGTAAAAACTCACAATTGAAGTACAATAATATTCCAGCGACGAAGACAAAGATGACGACCAGCAGCACCAGGAGAAGTAGTAGTATAGTCGGCCTGCACCAAGGACTCCTGATTACCTCAGTTTGCCTGTTGTCTTTGGACTGTTTCTGATCGACCACCGCAGACTCGCCGCTAACATTCACCACGACGCCCTTGTACGTGTACTGAGGCGCCTTTTTATCCGCCAGAAAGCCGTGATCGTCCTCGGGATCCGAATAAACGCCGTAGGCCTCAAAATTGTTCTTCCGATAGCCGTTCATCTTTTCCGCACCGGTGTCTTCCTGATCCTGATGCTTCCTGACGTACGCACCGGAGGAGGATGAGCCCAATTCGCCGATCTTCAAGGTCTGATCGTAAGACTTGTCTTGATATCTAGACGACGAAGTGCTTTCGTACTTGCCCCTCTCGTAGCTCTTCGAGCTCGTCAACTCGTATTTGGACTCGTAATTCTTACCGCCGCTCTCGTACGATTGCTCGTTGTACTTTGGCTCGAAGGGTTGCCTGGTCTCGTAGGTCGGCTCGTAGGACTTGCTACTCTCATATCGCGGCAGGGTGCCGTACATCTTGCTGACCGAATGGTATTTGCTCTCATACTGTCTAGCTGGCGGTTCTTGCTGTCCAGAGCAGGTGCCTAGATCGTAAGCGGAATCGTGAGTCTTCACGCCCGATTCGTAGCCCTTGGAGACAGCCGGCGGCTCGTAGATCTTGCCCGGATGATGATGATGGTGATGGTGATCCTTCTTGGGTTCCAACTTCAGCGTCTCTTCGGCATAACGTGACGCATACTCGTAGTCGGTCAGATCGCGCGAGTACCTCCTGGTGGGATCCTGGAGCTCCGGATAAGCTCTGCTGAGTTTTTGCGCGTCAGTTCGATCGTAAGGCGCGTCCAAGTCCGATTCTTGATAAGTCCGTTGGTCCACACGGCGGTCGGCATACCTCAGTGCGTCCTCCGGGTATATTCTATTGTCAAACCTCTCGAGGTTCTCCCGATCGAAGCCAACGCCTGCCTTTCGATCGTAGTTCCGATATCCTCTCGACTGATCGTGGTAGGCCCCCTCGTAGGCCGGCACCGCCGAGGCGGACGACTGGGGGTCCTGGTACGATTTGATCTCTTGGTACTCCAGGTAACGGGAGGACCTACGCTCGCTACCATAGTCCATCGAGCCCTCGACCACGTTAGGCAATTTGCTACTCAAATTCTCACCGGTTCCGGCGGATAGCGCCTGACAGGTCTCCGCATGTTCGACCAGATTCGGCAGCCGCGACAACGAGCTACCTGGCGTGTTCTCCGTCAGGTCGAGCTTGAGACCGTTGCTGCTGGTCCTGCGCATTTTCGGAGATTCGCATGATCGTTCCGGAACGACCGGGCTACGACCCGTGGACGATAGCGGTTGACGATAACGGCGGTCGGAGTTAATCGCGTGGATTAGTTAGAGATGCATTTTTGTGTTAGCGGATTCTCTTCGCGGGGTTAATGGATCAGCACTGTTAAATCTGGAAGCAAAGAGAGAAAAGAAAGAGAGTGTTAGTACGGTTAGTAGACGAGTATATCAGCAGGCTTATAATTCTAAGAATTTTTATATAGTAAGGTTGTTAAATAGTAATTAGTTTACTTTTGTTATTTTAATTTTAAAACATGTCGTTTTGTGATTAATCTCTTGAACGGATTGATTCGTAAGTTTTTCCAGCAGAGAAGAGTAACAAAATTGGGAATACAACTAAAGCAGATAGGAGAATTTGCGATTTCATGCTTTAATTTTCGATAACAATGTACGTAACGGAATGCATACATGTTTATCGATTTGTCATCGATACGTCTCTCTATCTCTCGGTACGGGATTTAGGACACCAATAATCTGTAAGCTCTTCTCCAGACGGCGATTACTCGTAGCATGCTCAGTGGTTCACAAATGGCAGCTATAGCCAATGATGACGATAATACTCGATCGTGCGTGACCGAAATGCAGCTGCGTTGCAGTCAACGATAATGCGACCGTCGAATGTATCGACCGGAGGTTTCGAAAAATAGAAGTTGCTTCAAAACACAACAGCAGCATTCACGTTGAGCAAACAACTTTTTTTTTAGAATAAAATTCCATGAAATACCACTTTCTATTATGATTGCAACTTTTTTTCCCTGATTCAAGACCATGTTCTCTCGTTTTTCAAGTAATTTCCGTGTTATATTGTTGTTAGATTTCTAGCATTTCCTCAAGTACTTAATACTAATGCTGAAATAATAATATGTTGATCGCGTACATGCTGTAGCACAAGAGTCACGCAACTTGTGCTATTATGCGTGTTCTAGATGACATCGTCCAAGTAGATTGCGCATATGCTAATACTTTCATTATAATCCCATCAACTTCTTTACCTTGTTTTTCAGATGGTACACTATTTTTCATAACTACAAAAAATCTTGCCATATTTGTTATATTAAATATTTAATATATTTAATATTCCTTTATATGTGTTAGATTGTTTTAAATATTTAATATAAATTTATAGCATACACACACACACACACACACACACATACACATTCTAAAATGGTCGCTTTTGTCATGTTTTAAGATACAGCTACATCCCCCCGAAGAATACTTTAGATGACGGGAGTTGAACAGAGTCTACAGTCAATAGAATTCCGATTTTAATTTGTTGAATAGGCCAGTACAGTGCCGTTAAATCATGCTGGATCGATAAATCACATTGAGCTGCGTCTTTCGATTACAGTCATATAATACCGCCCGTCCGCTCGGCTCCATTCTCATTGTCAGTCGACGGAGCGTATTCACAATTGAATGCCCACGGCGGATCGATCGATAATTAATTAAACGCGATTGCGTAGAAACGACAAACGTCGCGCTTCCGGAAGTTTCCACGGGAATACCAACAAGAATACCACAAAGTCTCCTGTCTCACTGCGTACTTCCTGAGAAGTGCTTCTCAGACCTGCCGGCTGCAACGACATATAATACCTCACATTGTCATATTACGTCCAAGACAATCGGCTTCATTAATCAACTTGATGAACAAATTAGCGTAACAACGTAACTTGAATCGAAGAAACTTTTGTGAATCGCGAACGCTAGTTCGCTAAAACTATGGGAGTTGCGAGAATAGAAAATCCGTAGTTGGAAGAAAATACGACAGTTCGGGAACGGTCAAACTGCACTGTCATATTCCCCAATTTAAATGGGGTAAAACGGACCAATTTATATATTTGTTCTACTTATATTTTCTACTTATACTTTCTACTTATAGTTTTCTGCTTATATATTTGCTCTGATTTGAGAAATATTTTACATTTCATTTTTTTTTACTGGAAAAAGCTATGAAAAATAAAAAACGCACTGTTAAAAGTAGAAGAAACTTGAAATTTATTGAAAATAATGTCTCCAAATAAAAACAGATTTTATAATAATTATTTATTTTATTTACATGCTTTATTTTAAAATGTTATATTTAATGTTATATTTAATATAAACGTTAAAAATTATAAAGATTATAATTATTTTAAAGATTTGTGTGTATAATACAATGATTAATGTTAAATTAATTTCTATTCTTATTCAAAAATATTTAATAAATAATATATAGTTTTGATTTTGAGTTAATCAGTTAAATTATTTCTTGGTCCATATTATCTCGGCTTGGTCCGTTTTACCCCATGGGTGGGTAAAATGGACCAAAATTAAGTTTTTAAAAATCTTAATAATAATTCAAACTTTTGCAATTTGAAATTTACATTATAATCTTAT